AAACGTATCGATTTTTTGTAAATACGAACGTCGATATAAAATATTATAAAGAAATAAAAGCGGTAATATTTCCCTAACAAACGTTTTTCATTAATACGACTATAGAAAGAAAGAAGCTAAAATTCAATAAAATATCAAATTGATTAGAACATTTCCAATTTTTGAAAAAGATTATTGGGTAGTTAACAATTATGTAAAAAGGTGTTCATGTTGTACTTGTCAAATAATTTTTACACTTATTTTCCCAAACATCAGGCTGTTGATAGATCTGCCAACACATCATAAAAACATCCACTCCATGTTAAAAAAAAGATGATTTTCAGCGGTATTTTAAAGTAAATGAAACTAATAATTGTTTCAATTCAGACTAATTACACTTTTTTTTTTACAATGTTTGTCAAATAACGTTTTAGAAAAGGATATTTTATGTTTCAATGATTTTTAATAAGTAGAAATATGTTGCAACATTGGTCTTCTATATTTGTGAGGCTATACAAGTGAATATTGGTCGGGATTATATTGAGTCTACAAATAAACATTGATCGTGTTTATATTTGAGCCTATAGGTAAATATTGGTCGTGTATATTTAGGAGTCTATACAGGTGAAAATTAGTTGAGATTATATTGAGCCTACAAATAAACGTTGGTCGGGGTAATATTTGAGCCTATAGGTAAATATTGGTAGTGTATATTTCGGAGTGTATATAGGTGAACATTTGTCGGGATTATATTGAGACTACAAATAAACATTGGTCGGGATTATTTTTGAGCCTATACTTAAACATTGGTCGTGTATATTTGGGAGTCTATACAAGTGAATATTAGTCGGGATTATATTGAGTCTACAAATAAACATTGATTGTGTTTTGAGCCTATAGGTAAATATTGGTCGTGTATATTTCGGAGTGTATATAGGTGAACATTTGTCGGGATTATATTGAGTCTACAAATAAACATAGGTCGGGATTACATTTGAGCATATTGGTAAACATTGGTGTTCATTGAACTTTTACTATACTTGGGACTATACGTAAACTTTAGTTAGGTTTATCATTGAGTCACTAGGTAATCGTTGAAAGATTCTCATATTTCAATAAAATTGATTTACATTAGTTTTGATATCCGTTCTGGTAAATTGTAATTACATTCCGAAAATTCTAATATTTTAATAATATTAATTGACTTTTATTTGGATATCATTTCTGGTTAAAAGTTAATTACATTCCCAACACCCTCATTGTTCCAAAAATTGATATACATTTGATTTGATATTCTTTGTCGAAAAACATAAGTATTTTTCGAACATCAGTAAAATTAACTTAAATTTGTTTTGATATCCTTTCTGGTAACAGGTAATCATTTTTCGAAAATCGTAATATGTGACTAAAATCATCTTTAACTTTATTTATTTTAATATCTTTCAGGTTATCGTAGTTAGCTCCTCCTTAATTCCCTAATTGTTCACTAGGGGTCGCTCTCCCTACACTATAAATACTGGGCGACTTCTTGTCTCGTTCTCTTTTCTACTTTACATTTCAGCGGACACATTTTACAATGTGATCTCTCGCATAGATCTGTGTTTTCGTCCACTTGTGGGAAAACGCCATGAAACACGCATACACGTACGTACGAACATTCACCAAAATGCAAACTCTTTACGTTCACACACAAACACAAATGTTGATGTCTTTGTCACTTGTAAATTTGTTGTTTCATACATATATTTGTTTTTTTATATATATATATATATATATATATATATATATATATATATATATATAACGAAAAGAGAAGGAATCAAGGATCAAAGACATCAGAAGATGTCGATTGACATTACATTTGAATATTTGAAGATTATAGCTATCAGGAAAAACAAGTAAGAGGAAGGGAGTTCCACTGACGGAAGTGCGAGATAAGAAGCTGTTGGAGTAGAAGAGATGGTTACATTTAACTGTTTCGACAGTGAAAGGGTGGGACCGAGATGCCAACCTAGTAGCACGCTTAAATTCATGCAGTTTGGGGAACCAGTGAAAATAGCTCGTCAGAGCAGTTGCCATGAAAATATTTGTAGAAAAGACAGAGGGAAGCCACAGCACGTCTGTGAGAAAGTGACTGTAGACGAGATGCCAGATCAGGACCTATCACATTGCATATCCGTCTCTGGATTTTGTCGAGGACCTCGAGATGAACAGCGGGGGCACCAGACCATATATGGCAACAGTATTCAATGCAAGGACGAATGGTTGATTTGTAGATTTGAAGGATGGACTCAGGCGAGAAAAACCTTCTGGCGCGACACAGAGAACCAACTTTCCCTGCGGTAGATGAAACTATAGATTCAATGTAGTTGTTCCACTTCAGGTCAGTGGTTACCGGGAGACTAAGCAGGCGGAGAGAGGCGTTCTCGTGGAGTTGGGCATCAGCCATCCTGATGGGGGGCAGGGAGGGTTCTCTTCGGTGGGTAACTGATAGCAGTTTCTTTTTGGAGGCATCTAAGTTTACAAAGCATTTTCTGCCCAGTCAACCACAGATTGAAGGTCCTTTTCGATCTTTACGGCAAGATTAGTTTTGTCAACGATGCCGGTAAGAGTAAATAGTAGTGTCGTCAGCGAAGATGTCACCTTAAGAGTTGATGACATTAGGAAGATCGATGATGAAGATCAGAAACAGTGTAGGGCCCAGGATAGAGCCTTGGGAAACACCAGCGTTCCTATGAAAGAAACTGGAAGAGAACCCGTTTAGGACGACCTTCATTTCACGGTTTGACAGGAATGATTTTATTAAGTCAAATAAACGTCCTGTAATGCTGTACCCCTGAAGCTTACGAAGAAGGCCAGTGTGCCAGACCCCATCAAACGCTTTTACGATATCTAAAGCTACAGCTCGAGCTTCTCCGTTATTGTCAAGAGCTTGGTATATAAATTAGTTATGGTCGTGAGTCCGTCAGCAGTGAACTGGGCAAAGCGGAAACCATATTGCTTGTCTGAGAGCAGATCATGGTATGTTCTGCTTAACCACTTCGGCGTTGATTAAAGCCTTTTGACTTTGACGAAGAGTGGTAAGAATTATAGAACGGTAGATAGATGGGTCAGAAATTTCACCAGAGTTCTTAAAGACAGGGACAAAAAATGATTCTTCTAACTTGGAAAAATAGATTCAGTGAGGCAATATTTATATAGTTTGGAGAGGACTGGAGCCAGTTCAGGAGCATTTTCTTCAGGACATCGGTTGGTATCCCAATCCTACCACTAGCCTTAAATCTAATTTAGAGACGATGTCCAAAACTATCGATGAGGTTATGTTTATGTCCTTCAACAGAGCCTCAGTTCTCGGGTGGAAAATCAGGTGTGGATACTCCGGATGAGTCGAGCGTTGAATTCGATGAGAATTTCTGAGCAAAGTATTCAGCTTTATCAGTTGAGAAAGTACCTCAAATTGATTGAATAGAGGAGGTATTGAGGATTTACTGTTGTTCAGCACGATCTTTCAGAGCCGCTAATAATCTTGGAGAACCAAACTTGAAAGATGGAAAAAGTTGTTTCATTTTTTTAAGCAAATAGTACGCTTTGTTTCATTAGGACATAGAGCTTGCACTCATTACGGGTAGAGACAAAGAGATGTCTGTTGAGATCAGACATGTCACTTCGAAATCAGATGGAAGAAGTGATTCCTATTTATTTTTTGCAGCAGCTGATCAAGCAGCATATCAATCAAGGAGATGAGCGAATCGATTTAACTTTGTATTTTCTTGCAGGGATGAAAACCTATCGATTTTTAGCTTTTTACTTTGTTAGGAGACCTTTGAACGCATTGATTTTTTGAAAAATTAGATTAAAACCCATATTCCAGGGGACATTTTGAAGGAAATCAAAAAATTATCCTAGTTCTGCGCGTTTAATAAAAAAAGATATTCTGTTTAGTAGGAGGTTCTTTGCTGGGGGGTGTAGAAGAAATTGATGTTAATAGACACTATGGCATGATCAGAGTTGCAAAGAGGGTAGAAGATGCAAAGATTATTGAATTCTGAGTCATATGGAAATTGAAAACGTAATTATGTTATATAAAATCCTAATATTTGAAATAAAATCATTTTATTATATTTTTATATTAAAGGAAATTTCGTTATTAAAATTTTAAAACATTTTCAATATTTCAATAAAATTTATAATATTTTATTTTTATATTTTGAAAAGAGTATCTTTTCCGAAAATTAAAAAAATTAATGTTTTTATTTATTTTGATATCCAAAAAAGAAAATTTTTAATTTTTTTCATTTTCCTAATATTTCAATAAAATTAAAATTATATTTTTTTTTTGATATCCTTTCTGAAAATTTAATTATTTTCCGAACATCCTAATTTTTCAATAAAATTAAATTATATTTATTTTGATTATCATATATATAAATATAATTAATTTTTCCGAACATGAAATATTTTATAATATTTTTAATGTATATTTATTTTGATATCCTTTCTGGAAATCCGTAATTATTTTCCGAACATCCTAATATTTCAATAAAATTAACTTATATTTATTTTGATATCCTTTCTGGAAATCCGTAATTATTTTCCGAACATCCTAATATTTCAATAAAATTAACTTATATTTATTTTGATATCCTTTCTGGAAATCCGTTAATTTTTTTTTATTGATTCCTAATTTTTTCGAATTAACTTTTATTTATTTTTTTATCCTTTCTAAATCCGAATTATTTTTTCGAACATCCTAATTTTTTTTTAAAAAACAAAACATTTTTTTTGATATTTTTCCAGACAGAAAGAATATTCATGTGAAGATTTTGTCATTTTTATTCAAATCCCAAATAAATTTTTTCTTTGTTGATCCGAGACGATATATTTATTCAGAAAATCGTTTTTATTGGTTTACATTATATGTGACGAATTTTATCTGACGAGAATGTATTTTATATATATATTTGAATTTGGCACCATTTTATATCTTTGGATATTTAATCATTATTTCAAGACTACGTTTGATGTTTAATGATTTTGTAAGAATTTCAATTTTCTATTTTTTCAGTCTAAACTCAATAAGACAGATCTTTGTCGACTGTTGAACCTGAAGCAAAAATATCAAGATCAGTTAAGAAGATATAATCTCTTTATCAGGATATACACCCAAAAATATAAGGATATATATATTTTTATTAACACATACCCTTATGTTGCTTTTTGAGTATTGTAAGCCAGCCATGACATGTTTTGGGGCTTGGAGAATTCTTCATATCTCTGCAAACGATCCCAGCTGTGGTTGATATTCTGTTACTGGTTTCATAATTTTCTGTAATGTTCTATCGTTTAAAAAATTTTTTGAGGATCTAAAATATCGCAAAAAAATGTAGACATAAACACGTAACATTGCCTCATCAGTTAAATTGAAAGTTATTCACGTGGTGTTATTAATAGTCGCCCTTTCTTTCTATCTATCTATCTATCTATTCATCTATCTATCTATCTATAAATCTATCTTTGAATGTCTGTTCCCATATATATCTTCTATCTATCTATCTATCTATCTATATCTATCTATCTATTCAGTCTGTTCCTATCTATCTATCTTTATCTATCTTTATCTATCTATTCTATCTATCTTCTATTCATTGTTTGCTTGTCCGTGACATATCTTCTCAAAATTCATCTTTTATGTATGTATATATATATATATATGTATTTATGTATGTATCTATTTTATCACCGTCTGCTAATATCTATCTCAGTCTTTTTTATATTATCAATCATTCCATTTTATCTATCTTTCTATTCATTGGATCTATCTATCTTCATTCATCTATCTATCTTCTCTGTTTTTATATTTATCTTTCTTTCTAAAAATCTATCTATCTATCTATCTATCTATCTATCTATTCATCTATCTATCTATCTATCTATCTATTATGTTTCATTATTATATTCTCTTTTTCAGACCGACCCATTAACTTAAAATCTGCCTAAGTAAACAAATATCCCAATTTTGGGAGGAATCCTTTCTTGGTTGGCCTGAGAACTTTTTAATAAACCCCACATACATACTTCCAGAGAGAGAGAGAGAGAGATATATCTAATATAGAGAGATTTTATTAGAGAGAGAAAGAGATTTTCTAAATCAGAGATCCAGATGCATATATACGCGTAGTCATAATGCTTTATCGATAAAGGCTACTGATTTTTTGTTTCTAAAAGAAATAATAAGCATTGTTAAATTTATCATTATAAACTAGTCAGCTTTTTTTCATTTTCTTTTTCAGTTGATTCATAGGACTTTTCATTTTTATGCATGGGCTTCTTCCGATTTTTTATATACCAGGATTCTGATTGGTCAATTGATTATTTCATTCGTAATTGCGAACGATCCCGGATTATGACCCCGGATCTCGGAAGCCGGCCGCATAAATAACCCACACTATTTTTCTTCTCTTTTGTTTCCTCTTCTTAATCATTATTCTTTACTATTTCTAATCTCAAACGTCTTTTTGTTCTTTTCTTTTTTCAACCTCAACCTTCTCTTTCTTCTTTTGCATTAAGGCCATATCACATTGAATCTCCGCTTGATAAGCCGTAATAAAGAAATCTATTGAAAAATTTTTCCTTTCTCTTTTTTTTTATCTTTGATTTTATGTTCCTTCGTTTTTTTTTTATTCTCCATAACCCCAAAATTGATTTTTTTTTTTCTTCTTTTCTTTTTTTCTTCTTCTTCTTCTTCTTCTTCTTCTTCTTTGCATTTTCTCCATATTCTTCCACTCCTACTTATTCTTCTTCTACTACTACTACTACTACATTTTTCTTTTTCATTTTCTTTTCTCTTCGTCGTCGTCTTCTCCTTTTTCTACTTCTTCCACTCTTACTTCTTCATCTTCTCATTTCCTTTTTTTCTTCTTCTTCTTCTTCTCCATTTTCTTATTCTTCCACTCCTACATCTTGTTCTTCTTTCACTACTACTACTACTTTTTTATCTTATTTTTTCCTTTTCGTCGTCTCCTCCTCCTCCTTCTTCTTCTTCTTCTTCTTGTTCTTCTTTCACTCCTCCTACTACTTCTTTTTCATCTTATTTTTTTCAATTCGTTCGTCTCCTCCTCCTTATTCTTTCCTCCTCCTTCTTCTTCTTTCTTTTCACAGAAGGAGATTACTACTACTACTTTTTCATCTTATTTTTTCCTCTTCGTCGTTTTCTTCTTCTCCTCCTCCTTCTTATTCTTCTTCTTCTTTTTGTTCTTCTTCTTCTTGTTCTTCTTTCACTCCTACTACTACTTCTTTTTCATCTTATTTTTTCCTCTTCGTCGTCTTCTCCTCCTCCTCCTCCTTCTTCTTCTTCTTCTTCTTCTTCTTCTTCTTCTCCGTCGCCGTCGTCGTCGTAGTCGGATTGAACGCTTTAACCTGGTCAGTTCACGATTGATTAATCCGTTCAAATTTTCCATGCCACAGCAAATATTGAACCCTCCTTTTTAGAGACTACAATTCACACAATACAAGGCTCGAAAGCCACAGAAGATAGAGGATTGCTGTTTAAAGGATAATGATGACTGAGCCTCATTATCTAAATAGTAATGATGATAAGGCGGTTGGATGAATGATTCTTGACTTGAACAGGTCAACATTGAATTTTTCGGGGGAGCACACACGCAATTATCTGTTCCACAAAGCAGCAGTTCTTCAGATAGAATCTGTCTGAATGAAATCATTATATATCCTCCTTATCCTAACAATCTTCACTTACTATTTCCTTCGCTTAGATTCTTATCGCGCACATCATTCAGTAACCGTCACCGACGGAAACGGAAGAATAGACAATTGGCCAGTGGATAATACCTTTGTAGAGGGTCGTGGCTGTTATGTTGTTGATAGAAGTCAGACGTAGAAGAAACGCATGTAAGGTTCAGATACTCCTGCTCGCCGGGCCCAACTACATAAAAAGGTTGGAATTTGATTAAGTCCAAAGAAGAAGGCAAAGAAAGCAAACAAAACACAAGACCGATAATATATGTATATACAAATATATATTAATAACATGTTACAATACATGGAAACAGTACAAAGGATGAAGTGTATGGGAATATTCTGTATGTGCGTGCGTGTGAATATTCTGTATGTGCATGTGTGTGTGTTGTGCTTAGCGTGTTTCCACGCTATCCCTTGTTAGCGCCTACATTTCGAGGTTGATAGCTGAAATCCTGAAGGAAAAAGAGAGATTTACCTCAAGGTGTCGGCGCACAGGCCTGAAGGAAAAAGAGATAGAGGCGAAGGGTCAGCGGCTATTTATAGCCAAATCCTGGGAAAAAGAGAGACCCCTGGTGAAAGGGTTAATGAACTGAAGGAGGAGTTAACTCCGACACCTTTCAAAGGGTTAAACGACAGTAATGTTACGACAAGCGATGTTTTTCACTATCCGTCCCCAGCTAAAAAGTTTGTCCCCTAAATCTTACCTCGTTCACTGCATTTTGTCGCAATTTTTTTAAACTCAACCCAATTTGAAAAAAAAAAGTTTTTCGGACAAATTCTATTCAAACAATCCAAGAGAGCTAACACTATCTATCTCTCTTTTCGTCTACTTTTTTGAACGAAAATGCAAAGCATATATCCATTCGGTGAACGATGAACCACCTATGTTTTGATCTTAAACATTTTTGTACACATCAGATCATTCAATCTGTTGTATGAACATTTATATATATGACAATATATTAAAATTATGGACTTTTGGTATCTGAAATGATCTACTGACACTATTTCAAGATGTAAATTCGTGTGTAAATATAAAATTATATTATTCATAGAAGTCATCATTATCATCCTTCATAAATCTTCTTGGCGTGTTTTATTCTAGACGCATTTTTAACCCCTCAGCCCCACGCCGCTATATATATATATATATATATATATATATATATCTATATTAATATAGGTTTAAGATGTGCTATATTTATGGTTGAAGAAAGAAATTCAACATCAGAGAAATAGATTTACGTGATTTATTTAAATAGTGAACATAGACGTTTTGGAGGCGACAGTCTGTTTCATAGCTTCACACAATCGGCTGGCCGACCTGGATTGATCCTCATATAGTTCTATATATATATATGATACTCCTCCTGCTGAACGTGACGGTCGTTTTCCCTGGTATCCTGTTTTCAGTTCCCCCCGTTTTTTTTTATGGGTTTTTTATGAAACAACAATCCTCAAAAAACCACGCGAAGGACATGTTGAAAGCTTGATCGTCATATCGGCTGATGTATTAACACTTTAAAATATTAATTTTAATTTTCTCAGATGGTTCAGACAATTCTTTTCAAACGACGATTATACCTTTGGTGACAGGGCCTTCTCCAGTTTTTCCTTTCAAACAGCAAGATATGTCTTATTTTATTTTATTTGCACTACTTAAATTTTATTTAAGTTTGTTGCTCAAGCCCCTTGGTAGTTCCTCTTTTACGATGCCCTGAAAAAGTTGGAAGCCAACTCCCCAGGAAGGGCATCCGATCATCCCATTCTAATGACATTACCAGCCCATTTCTAAATTGCAATTGTATCAGAAAAGGATTCAAATTGATCATGACATTTACTTTGATGGTCAATAAGAGGGTTAGAGTTTTGTCCTGCCGTAAAATAACTGCAAAAGTTTGAAAGAGAAAAATAATGTAAAGAAAAGAAAAGGACAATAATTGAAAATTAATTTATTCTGACCCCGTTACAAGTTTGTTCGGACTGTTGATCCTCATCTTTGTTTTCATTTTCGCAAAATTTCACCAACATCCGCTTCAGCCTATTTTGAAAATGGCAACAGAAATGAGGACAACAGTCCGAACAATATAAATAGGTTAGCGTAATTTGTAATTTAAAGACAACCTCATCTCAATTGAAATATTGACAGAAATTGAAATTTTGTCGGTTTTATTCTATGTTTTGAGGTTGTGATGATGATTATTAATAATAATATTGATGGAAATTCAAAGAATTTTTTTTCTACAGAAATGAAACTAAAACGAAGGACTAATTGAAGGATTTATCTCAGTCGACACCGGTTAGTTAACCTAGAATGCTTTGCACTTCCTCGATAGGGAAACGAGTTGTTTCCCGCTTTCCCAAGCTGAATATTCAACTGTTTACAAAATTAGTTTGGTAACCAACATTTATTCATTTTTTTTTTAAATGAGTTGTTAAGTTTTTTAAAAAAGGATTTTACAGCTCTCCTTTGTAATGAGCGTCTCAAATTATTATATATTTTTATATATATATCTATTATATATAATAAAAAAAATCTTATGCTTATCAACTTTTGTTTCTTCTTTTCTAATTTATATTTAATTTTTTTTTTTTAATTCAGTAATTTTTTTAGAAAAGAAAATAGAAACACTTTTTCACTTTCTTGTCTGTATTTTTTTAAAAATTTATTGAACTTAATTTAATGTTCAAGAATTTTTGTAAAAGAAGGTATTCTATTCAAAAATAAACAAACACCGTTATTATCGAAAAAAATAAATTGACCTTTTATTTTAATTTTAAATATTGGATATATATATATATAATATATATATATATATATAAACCTTTTTTTTTTAAACTAAAGTACCTGTTTATTATTTTGTTGTGGTTGACCAAACATTTCTCACAACAACTGAAGATATTTGGGGGCACTTAATTCAAGATCACCGACTTTCTATTCAAATGCCATCAAAATCCTGTCTTTTTTGAATTTAATCTTATTTTGTTTCGATCCTGCTAACAGGGCTTGGTATTTTGTTAACGAGCTAGTCTGAAAGCACTGAATGTTGGGTGACTTGTCACGCTTAAAAACAATTGAATTAATTTTAATTTTAGCTGTTGTTAAAGCAGGCTTTTGTTTAGGATTTAAAACGTGTTTATGTTTTGATCCACTTCCTGACTATTTTTATGTTCACAAGAGTTTCCACATATATATATTTTTATTATTATATAAAACAGAAAAATAAAATAAAATCCGCGTTATTTTGCTTTAACTAGTTTGGATAAATTACCAGTATTTGAAATCGCGGATATTAAAAATAAAGATCCAGTAAAAGAGCTTACACTTTATATACAGTAGTAAAATGAATTCAGAAAGAAAAACTACATCATATGAAATTTAAAAATATGTTTCAGTAATAAAAACCTTACTAAATTTTCGGTTCCTAAGGATTAAAATGAATTTTAAAAATGAAAAACATTCTTGAAGCTTTTTTTCTTTTAATTGAAAGCTAAATGATTATGTAATCATTTTTTAGCTTTCAATTAAACATTTAACAACATATACATAAATATATAAATGTGTATATATATATATTTATATATATATATATATATTGAGCGGTTATTGGTTTTTCAAATAGAAATTATCTTGATTGGGCTCAACTTTTTGGTCTTGCTTTCAGAAAATCGATGCTATCAGGCATTTTTGTGTTTGTTTAACACAAAAGACTAATTCTGGTTTTAAAAATCTTCCAAAATAAAATGTATATTTTAAAACGTTATTTGAATAAAATTAGCAAATTTAAAGTTATGAATAATCTGATTTGAAACGAATATTACCTATAGCACGCTGATAATGTAATATAAAGCATTTCTTGACCAACATTGACGAACATTTCTGGTGTGTTAATCAACTGATTGGCAGCCTAACGGTTGAAAGTTTCCAGCCACTTTTGAACGAAATTGACATAAATTTATGAAATCTAAGTCTATCACTTTGTTTTTTCTTTATATTTTTTTAATTAACATATATTATATATATATATTTTATTGATATTTTATTACTTATATATTTATCTATAGCCTTACGTTTTTATCAAAATAAATTAAGGAAAAAATAAAATTAAAAATTAAAAAACTATTAAAAAAATAAATATTTTTATGAAAAACGGAGATTGATGCCTAAAATCAATTTGAAATTGTCGGTTCAAAATGACATGATAAATAAAAATAAAAACCCCAAATAAAATTGAATAAGAAAAATTTTAATTTCCCAAACGCCTACAAAATTATTTTTTCAGTATCAAACCCCTTGAATCTAGGTTCTTTCTTTAAGTTAAACTAAAAAAATAGAATGTTTTAAATTCTTCAAGGAGTCATTGCTTTTAATTAATAAAAAAGGTTTTAGGTCCCTCCAAAATTCGTTAAAAATTAGTAAACAGGACAAAAAATGCCCAAACAAGATTTAATAAAAACAAAGTTTTATGTTAAAAAACTTTGATTAAAAATTTAAGAAGAGAAAATACCAGAATTTTTTTTAATTTTCTTTTTTAATAATCCTTTTTAATACCTCTGAAATTTTAGTTTAAAATCTTATATTTCTAATGTCAATATGGGACCATAAATTTTTACAGAAAAATTTGAATGATTTTTTTTTTTTATATAAAATTTTTTCACAAAAATCCTAATCTGATTTTAATTAGTTGTATTCAAAATACTGTTTAATTTTTCAGATCTTGGTAAAAAATGAATTTTTTTTTTTCATATTGAAATAACCATTTAAATTTAAAAAATTTCGAAAAAAAATATTTTGCATCATTTATTGTTTATATTATATATACAAATAACGTATAAATAAAATTATATTTTTAAATATAAATACTTTATGTCTAACAAAATCAATGAATATATAATATGCTTAATTTTTTTTGCCATATGGAAAACCATAATGACATTATCTTTAATGTTAGGAAGAAACTAAAGTAGAAAACTAAATTTACTGGTATTTTTATTATGCATTTCCTGAACAAGTGTTTCGTCGTAAATAAGATTATAAAGCCAAAGTATTTATAAATTAAATAAAATATTAGAATTCAAAAATGATATTTAAGATTTCATATAGAAGATTTCTAAAAAAATGTCGCGGAATAGTTGACATAGGTCATTTGTCATTGTGCGATTTTATATCCATTATCTCATCCTTAGTTACATTTCCCAAATATTAGGCTGTCAATGTAATGTGTTGTGACCTAGTTTGAATTATATATATATATATAAATATATTTCTATATATTTAAATATAAATATATATATTTGTTTTGAATCAGATTAATTAAACTTTTGAAATCAGTTTTAAAATTTCAAAAACCAGGTCACATTGATTTGATTTCAAATTTCATGATAAATCATTTTTATCAATGTTATCTACTGGTCAGTACTTAGAAGTGATCATAGAACTGAAACATGAAAGCTTTTGTGTAGATAATGTAAAATGTTTTAATTGTAATCAATTATAATTTTATTATAATAATTATTGTTATATACTGTACCTATGAACACTAATGGGTATGTCCCAAACCTCATAAATATGTTGGACACTATTGTAAGGGGTGTAATATGTGGGTCTAATATGTCACATCAGTCTAGCTGTGGTTTACCTACTTCACGCCGCTGGCGAGTATCGTATTTTGTTGATGTTATAAAGATTATCATTTCATTAACAACCTTCGTTTTGGCAATTCCTCATCCAGTAACAACCCTTTCTCGGTTACAACACACACACACACACACACACACACACACATTCATTCATTCGTCTTATTTTGTCTCTTTCCCTTTTCTTCGACTCATTCTCTTCTCTTCTTTATTTCCATGATCTTTTTCGCCCTCCCTTCCCGCCACCTCTTCGTCAGTCACTTTCTTTCCTTATTTACTTCATATATTCTCTTTCTTTTATTTTCCTCCTCTTCTTTTTACCTTTTCTTTCCTCACGATTTTCCCCTTCTTTGTTTCCCCCCCACTCCTTCTTTCTTCGTGCTTCTTTCTTTCCTTCCTCTTTCCTTACTTTTTACTCCTTTATTTCCTCCCCCCATCCTTCATCGTTTCTCCTCCCCTTTTCTCTCCTTTTCTTCGCTTCCTTTTCTTCATTCGCGCATTATAAGCTGATATGCTCATGGTATATTTCGCAGATGAATATATCCTAAAATCTGGTCAAAATTTGCATAATAATATTTGACATTGGGCCGCAGCAAATAAGCATCCTATTATAATTGTGATTGTCTCTTTTCTTCGTTAGTTCACACGACCATTACGCCATACCAATACCGAATAAATAATGGGCTATTCCGTTTTGATCGCGTAGAAAGACGGGGAGAGACACTACTTTGTTTCAATGAGATAATGAAAGAAAGAAGGGAAGATAGGTGTAGAGAGTGAATCAGATTAAGCTGATAGTAAAAACAGTTACTACACTTTCATCTTAGTCAAAAAGCCGAGTGTTGATGGTGACCGTGATAAAAATGCCACTATCGAAAAGTTACGTTCAAATATTTAAAGATGCGATAGGAAATATTTTACATATATTTCATTGTCGTAGAAGTCACCATGAGCTTAATCGTTAATTTAAGAGTAAGAATTAAGATTTGAAATAGAAAAAGCGTGAAATTTTCACGGGTCTTTCTCGTGAATCATAACTGCGGCAAAGACAGAAGAGATGGAACTCATTTATTGTGTTTGGGAAAATTACCGGCGCGTGACAAGGCATTTTTAAAAACAACAAAAAAAAAGGCATTTTTTTGTCATCATAAGCATATGAAGATAAAGTTTATTGTTGACAACATGAGATAAATATAAGAAATAGATTAGTTGTATATTTTTTCAGCGCAATCCGTGAGACTCTTTTATCTTCCAGCCTTCTTCGGATTTGTATCTCGCTGTTGGTAAACTTATATGGAATTTTGAATCGCACCTTTTATTCAATCCACAGATCGATTATGAAAAATGAAAAAAGTAAAAGAGTATGCTTAAAAGTCTGTTATCAACGCGTCTGAGGTTTCCTTATGGGTAAAAGTACCCGTCGTGTCTTTCATCCCAGAAAGAAAAATACCAAAGATAAATCGCGCTCATCTCCTTGGTTCTCACCTGTTTTCTCAGCCGCTATAGCCTATAGGTAATCACTTTTTTCGTCTATACCGGAGCGACATGTCTGATTGCAACAGAAGTTTCTTTGGCTCTGTTCGTAATGAGTGCAACCGAGTACTCAATGAAGCAAAGTTACTGCTGTCATTTACTCACCATAGAGAAACTTCCCTGTCTCCTATCAGCATGGTTGATGATCAACTCCACATTAGCGCCTTCTTGGTCTCACGTTTTCCACTAACCTAAACTACATTGAATCAATAGCTTCATCTACCGCAAAGAAAGTTGATTCTATATGTCGTGCCAGAAGGTTTTTCTGGTCTGAGTCTATATTGCTTGTTTGAGAAAAGGCCCTGTGATGAGAGATGATGAACCAATTCAGCATTGATTAGGACCTCTAGGAGGTAATAAAAAAGAGGTAGAAGGCTAATAGTCCAATAGTTGGAAGGGTCGGACGGCTGAGCGGAGTGCTTAAAAACGAGCAACAGATGGCAGGAAAACAGGGGGCAGCGAGGCATTTATTATACAGTTTAGAGAGAACAGGAGCCAGTTCAGGACCATACGGGTAATATCAGGTCCCCATGAATTATGGGGATCTAGGTTAGAGATGACAGCAGAAACCATGGAAGGGGTTATATGATAATCACTCAACAAATCCTCAGTTTTAGAAAGGAAGTTAGGCAAGGATATTCCGGATGAGTAGAGTCTGAGGAGAATTTACGGGCAAAGCATTCAGCTTTATCAACAGAGGATGATAACACCTCATATTGATTGAGGAGGAAATAAATAAATAGTTATTTAATGTACTTTTACAGAGCGGCCAGTAATCCCGAGAGCCAAAGTTGTCAGAGGCTATGCGGTACGTCATTCTCTCGCCAAACAGGGACTTTGCTCCTTCGAGGACGCGCTTACATTTATTGTAAACAGCAAGAAATAGGCGCCTGTTGTGACGAGAGCCGCTACGCTGGTATAGCCGAAAATAGTGGTTCCTTTGTGCTGTAGCGATCGAGTATACTGGTGAGAACCATGGAGAGGATTGAGATTTCACCTGGTATTTCCGAGAAGGAATTAAAGCGTCCATGCCTGCTTTGACCCAAGAAGAAACCTCAGTGGAGCAATTTTCAATGTCGAGTTTAACGATGCCATTCCAAGGTCCGTCACGGAGAAAATCACGGAGTGAGTCCTAATCAGCATGCTGGTAATGGAAAGAGGACTTGTGGTTATGGGGTTTTCTATTTAGAAGAGGATTGGAACGAAATCTCAATAGCTACCACAGAGTGGTCCGAGTTATCAAGAGAGCAGCGTTGCGAAGCTCGGCAAAAGCAAGGTAAGAAATAAATCAAGTAGAGAAGCATGTTGCGCAGATTTCCTAGGAAAACGAGTAGGGAAGTCCACGATTTGAGTAAGGGATTAAGCAATGGAAATATTTAATGTGTGGACACCGACAACATCAGTCCCTTTAGAATGTTTAAGCCACGTGTAGTGGTGAGCTTTAAAGTCACAGAATACAAAGATGTTCGCAGACGGGTGGAGGGAAATACTTTTTCTATATTGTCAGCTATTTCGTCTAATATACTGCAGTCCTGGGGAGAGGGGGAGCGATAAAGTAAAAAGAGATAGCTAACAGAGTTTAGTAACGAAAGACGGAAACACATAAACGAGTAGACAGTTTCCTGGCCATCGGATTATTATCCCGGATGTCAACATGTGAATGCTGGAATATTTTCGGCAAAGGTGAAGAATTCATTGAATTCATTGGTAGAATTTAAGTTAAAATTAAGTTAGTTTCACTGAAGGCAAAGATATCTGGCGACCATTCCAAGAGGAAAGATTCAACGCTGTAAAAGTTGGAACGGATACCACGAATGTTATTGAAAGAAAGGTCGAGGCGGGAGGTGATTTTTTATTTACTGGTTTAGCTGAATTTCTTTTTCTTGTGTTTTCTATAAAATTCGTTTTAAGGGGAGAGAGGGAGAGAGGGAGAGACAGAGAAAAGACCACAGTAATTATCACTATCTGTCGTCGATGGTAATACAAACTAGCAAAGAGCATGGAAGAAATCAGAGCATAGTGTGTTATCTATCTATCTATCTATCTATCTATCTATCTATCTATCTTATTCTGATTATCTACATCTCTCTCTCTCTCTCTCTCTATATATATATATATATATATATATATATATAAGTTTGTTTACGTCTATTTATCCAAGTCTATTCATTATCTCTCTCTCCCCTCTCTCTTTCTCTCTCTCTCTTTAAATTTGGTTACATCTATCTATCTATCTATCTATCTATCTATCTATCTATCTATCTCAGTCTTCGTTATAATTCTCAGTCTATTCATTATCTCTCTCCCCTCTCTCTATATATATATATATCAATTTCATTCATATCTATCTATCTATCTATATCTATCTATCTATCTATCTATCTCAGTCTTCGTTATAATTCTCAGTCTGTTCATTATCTCTCTCTCTCCCCCCCTCTCTCTCTATATATATATCAATTTGTTCACATTCTATCTATCTATCTATCTATCTATCTATCTATCTATCTATCTATCTCAGTCTTCGTTATAATTCTCAGTCTATTCATTATCTCTCTCCCCCCTCTCTCTATATATATATATATATATCAATTTTGTTCTATATCTATCTATCTATCTATCTATCTATCTATCTATCTCAGTCTTCGTTATAATACTCAGTCTGTTCATTATCTCTCTCTCCCCCACCTCTCTCTCTCTCTCTATATATATATATCAATTTGTTCATATCTATCTATCTATCTATCTATCTATCTATCTATCTATCTATCTATCTCAGTCTTCGTTATAATTCTCAGTCTGTTCATTATCTCTCTCTCTCTCTTTCTATATATATATATATATATAAATTTGTTCATATCTATCTATCTATCTATCTATCTATCTATCTATCTATCTATCTATCTCAGTCTTCGTTATAATTCTCAGTCTATTCATTATCTCTCTCTCTCCCTCTCTCTCTCTATATATATATATCAATTTGTTCATATTCATTCATCTATCTATCTATCTATCTATCTATCTATCTATCTCAGTCTTCGTTATAATTCTCAGTCTATTCATTATCTCTCTCTCCCCCCCTCTCTCTCTCTATATATATATATCAATTTGTTCATATCTATCTATCTATCTATCTATCTATCTATCTATCTATCTATCTATCTATCTATCTCAGTCTTCGTTATAATTCTCAGTCTGTTCATTATCTCTCTCTCTCTCTCTCTCTATATATATATATATCAATTTGTTCATATCTATCTATCTATCTATCTATCTATCTATCTATCTATCTCAGTCTTCGTTATAATTCTCAGTCTATTCATTATCTCTCTCCCCCCTCTCTCTCTATATATATATATATCAATTTGTTCATATCTATCTATCTATCTATCTATCTATCTATCTATCTATCTATCTATCTATCAGGCATTGAGCCGACATTTATTCGTGTTAACTTTCGTCATCGTGACGTCTTTTCTTCGTCTGGCGTTTCCCCCCTATTTTCCCGTAGCCAATCCTTTTTCCCCCCACCCCGTACACCACTCAGCTTATTCTTTTTATTTTATTTTATTTTATGTTCCTTTAGGATAACCGACTTATGATTGCATATAAATAAAAACGTGAGCTCATCTCTCGTCGTCAGGGTGGGGTGGGGGTGATGCTATCCCTTCCCACTTCTTTTTACAACAAAGCTCTTATCGTTTACCTTTGTTGAAGTCTATTACTTTGTGCTATCAATTTCCGCTTCAAAAGCCTGATGCCAGTCTAACGTGTGCTGACACTCTCACGTGAGGTTTCTCTTATTGTGACAGATATCAGTAGAAAAATAAAACATTTCTGATAAGTAAACTCATGATTACAGCGCGGCAGTGGAAATCATGTCACGTTTTAGAAGCGACGGTCGTCCTGAATGCAAAGCTTCTCAGAACATAACTAATTTTGAACAATGTTAAACATGCAAAACTACACATCTTGGTGTCGAATAACTCTTGCACCAAGATGGGAACCACATGAGAATACCAGCTTGGATGTAGGGGTGGTGTAATGAATCTCGAATTTGAAAATTGGAGAGCCAAGTTCCAATTCCAGTCAGGTTCGTTATACCCACTTACGCGCAAATACTATTGGGAAAAGTATGAATTAAACTCTACTCCCCAAGCTATGGGTTAATTAGTAGAACTCGTATCATTAAACCATTATTATCTCCCTCCAAAATCTTACAGTCTAAAATATTTTCTGGCTTTAAATAACCTGGAAAAGGTTGATAAACCGTAAAAAACAAATCATACATCTGACCAATGGAATACGAATGAGATGAGGATGATTTTGCTACAATGTGCAGGGAATGGTGGTTGAAGGTTAGAACTAGTAGTACTAATAAAGCAGACAGTGTAGTCTTCGAATTCTTGACCAAAGAAGGATTTACTGCTACCGACCTCCACCGAATGATTAGAGATGTGAATGGTGAGGCAACAATTGATAAGAGTATTGTGAGATGTATAGATGGATAGATAGATAGATAAACGGGTAGGGTTGGGGTTAGGGTTAATCCTAACGGGTAGGGGTTAGGGGTTAGGGGTAAGGGTTAGGGTTAGTTATCATGCTCTTTTCAAAGTTCGTGCAAAGTTTGCGTATTAATTATTATTTGTTTTATTTTTAATTTAAAAGAAAAGCTTTATTTTATTATTTAATTTGTTTTTTTTTAATTTAAAAAGAAAACTATATTTACCATTTGTCATTGCTTTCCGACAGTGCACAGTAATTTACACGAGTAAGAGCAGTAAAAGCAGTAAATAGGCCGTTAATTACGCCACCACGAGTAAAGTGTTCCGCAGTGAATGTAGTTAAACAAGGCACGTAATGGCGGATGAATGAACGCAACTGAGTCCGAAATTTTATTGTCGATAACTTCAAAACGGTAGGTTTTATCAAAATGTGGGCGTTTTTTTTTCGAATTGAGCATGTACAATTACACGTAAAGTTATAATACATTTACTAAGCGGTGATTAAAAAGCAAATTTACCGTTTGATCTTACACTTTTAAAGGTAGAACATGGCAGTCGGAGTTAAGTATTGAACTGGTTGGACTAAGGAATGAGGAAGTCTAAACTGGTGGGACTGAGGAATGTGGAAGTCTGAACTGGTGGGACTGAGGAATGTGGAGGTCTGAACTAGTGGGACTGAGGAATGAGTAGTTCTGAACTGGTGGAACTGAAGAATGTGGAGGTCTGAACTGGTGGGAATGAGGAATGAGTAGTTCTAAACTGGCGGAACGAAAGAATGTGGAGGTCTGATCTGGAGGGCCTGAGGAATGTGGAGGTCTGAAATGGTAGGACTAAGGAATGTGGAGGTCTGAACTGGTGGAACTGAGGAATGTGGAGGTTGAACTGGGGACTGGGAATGAGGAAGTGAAACTGGTGGGATGAGGAATGGAGGTCTGAACTGGTGGGTGTAAAGTTTGTAACGGTCTCAACTGCTGGGACCGAGGAATGAGGAGGTCTTAACTGGTTAGGACTAAGGAATGTGGAGGTTGAACTGGTGGGACTAAGGAATGAGGAAGTCTAAACTGGTGGGACTAAGGAATATGGAGGTCTGAACTGGTGGGACTGTGGAATGTGGAGTTCTGAAATGGTAGGACTAAGGAATGCGTCGGTCTGAGCTGGTTAGGACTAAGGAATATGGAGGTCTGAACTGGTGGGACTGTGGAATGTGGAGTTCTGAAATGGTAGGACTAAGGAATGCGTCGGTCTGAGCTGGTTAGGACTAAGGAATATGGAGGTCTGAACTGGTGGAACTGAGGAATGAAGATGTCAGAAATGGTGCGACTGATGGAATATAAAAGCAATAGCTAGTAAGATGCTAATAACGTTTCGTCTGTGGGATATGGGTGGCATGTTGGAGAATAATTCATTACCCACAAGGCTACGTAATTGATCTTGATTTTTGTCGATGCTGGACACCACTTGTGCTAACAATATCAAAACATAAAACATGCATCTAGTTGTGAGGGTGGTGTAATGAGTACTTTTTTGCAGTAAGGTTCCCCCTGTATAAGGCCCGGGGCCACTCGAGGGGGTGGTACGGAGAGAATATAGGTGGTTTGCTACTATGTAAGTAGCACGGCGGGTCCTAGCCGTGACGGGTAGACCTGCTGGAACGAAGGAATGTATTTCGTCCAAGCACTTTCCATAGTAGTCGCGATTGAGCAGTGAGGGGCTCACCACGTGAGAGAGAGAGAGAGAGAGAGAGGGGTTGGAGATTAGAAAATAATTCTTCTCCAATAATTCTTCTCAAGACTAGAAAGTAAGGTCTGGATAGCTCCTATCCTAATTTAACTTCCTACCCCCTTTTCGATTCTTTCTTTCTTTCTTTCTTTCTTTCTTTCTTTCTTTCTTTCTTTCTTTCTTTCTTTCTTATCAGTTATCTTCCTACCCCTTTCTTTCTTTTTTTTCTTTTCTTTCTTTCTTTCTTTCTTTCTTTCTTTCTTTCTTTCTTTCTTTCTTTCGTATCAGTTATCTTCCTACCTCCTTTTTTTTTCTTTCTCTTTTTTTTACAATAAGGTTCACCCTATACAAGTCTTGGGGGACATTCGAGGTAGAGAGTTACGTTAAAGGGTAGTTTATAGGAATAGGAGGGGGGAAAATAATGGTTAACTCTAGTCTTCAACAGGTTCAGGTTGCAGTGATCAGGGATCCATCCTCCCGGGAGTCTGTTCTACAGGGCAGTAGTTCACGGGAAAAAAGCTGTTCGAGTGGAACTTACTTCTCACCGATAGAACACGGAGGGAATGCATGTGGTTTGCTGTAATATGAGTGACACATATGGAGAAAAAAATGATGAATGCGTCAAACATTAATAATTTATGACAAATGCAAAACATTTGATTTCTTTAAAACGCTGGTACGAGTTTCTCTGCGCATTCTCCAATTTTCACTACGCATCAGGGTTTTTTTTTAATTTTATTTGCAGACGTCTTTGGATACGTCATCATCAATTGAATCCAAATAAGTCACTATTGCGCCAAGTGTTTCGCTCGACACATGCTAGAAAGCTTCTTCTTTTATGCTCTATGTTCTTTCATGATCATATGCGATGTTTTTTCAATATCGCGGCTCTCCACAACTTCCTGTCTTTTATTGTTTTTTTTTTTTGCTCTAAATAATTTTGAAGACTTTATCAATCCTCTTTTTTCACGATTTGTTTCCCATTCACTAGAACTCGTTAAACAATGTACTCGCTATTTGCGTCCACACTTATTCTTGTTGCATTTAATCTATACTTTGGGTGTTAAGAATTCCCAAGTTACTCTTTCTTCCTGATGTTTTTGGAAAGCTTGCAAGAGAATATTTTTCATTTGCTCTGGGAATCCATCGATTAGGCCCGCTGTTCGAAGGATGAATTTTTTTTTTTTTTGTCTTGCCGACGCATCTTCTATATGCCGTGTCCCTTCAGGACAAAGGCGATCAGGTCTTTTGTGTTCACCATCCCTCCCATCTCCGTTCTACCATCCATTCACACAAGCTCGTCAGGCAGGTGGCCCACTGCTTCCTCCTACCCATCTTACTTTCGATATATCCTGTGAGTGTCAATTCTCCAAACCCTTCATTCTCATTATATATCCAAGAACTTTTTCGGCTGTCTCTTTCTGATTTCGAATATAAGTGGCCTGAGAATTGGTAAATAATGACAAAAACTCATTTTCCAACTGACGAGTGGTGAAAGTGACGCATGCGCACAGAAGCACGTGGCAGCATTTCAAAGAAAACTGATCTTTTGAATTCGTCATAATTTATTATTGCTTGAAGCGTTCATCTTTCTCTCTCTCTCTCTCCGAATGCATGCGGTTTTGAATAATCACGAGGAAAGTTTTCCAACGTGAAGTTTATTTGATGTGTGAACGTTTCCAGGGGAAACCTGGCACCTTCATGGAGTTGAATTATCTGAAATCATTTATAAAAATAATTAAATTATTAATGTTGACTTGCTTTCTTCTTTGTGCTGCTGTTTGCCATAAAATTAGCGAATTTATCGGAATTAAAACAGTTCGGTAAAAATCTTATAACTTGTAATGTTTAGTAGATTTTCAAAATATTTCATTAAATACGCCAACATTGTTAGCTTTCCTTTACATTATTAATTACTAAGGAGAGAGGACAATAAAAGAACGGACGCCCAGGGGGGAAAGATGATGATAAACTTTTCAGTTAAATTTTTGAAAACCGTAGTTGCCAGGAAGGCAAGAAAGCGGAAGAAAGTTCCACCAGGCGAGAAGAGTGAATGATGAAACTATTAGAATAAAAATTAGGGGTTCAAGCTGTGATCTAAATAGTAACCCTTTGAGTCCTGCGTTCCTGAACAATTTTAATTCTTCTGCCTGAACCCCTGAGTCAAAATTCGCAAATAATTGGGATGTAATGGTTCACGGTAGATATAAAAATAGTTACAAGTGTTTACCCAGCATTCAACCGGTGGCTGGGCATTACGTCATTTTTTTCTATCTCCGATAAAGCGGTGGTCAGGGCTTAAAAGGTTAAGGTCGTTATCACTTTTAGGACAGAAAAGTGTTTTATTTAAATAACGAAGCAATTTAATTATATAAGCCATCAACAAAACAATCGCTTATTTATAAAGATTGAAAATAAGTAACAAAATTATTTTTTAAATTTGATCTTCAATGGAAAGTATATAAAATTAGTTAATTCTCTTAAGGCCGAATCACTAAGTTGGGTTTCTGGTAGCTATGAAAAGTAAAACCCTATTTTGTATACTCAGCTCCTAGCATACAGTATCTCTAACACTATATTAAAATGGTAGCCGTCGCCATGATGAAATTTTGGGGTGAACTGTGCAATTCTTCTTCATAATCCCAAGTGTCCGTGAGTATTTCTACTTTAAATCGTTTTTTCATGCGACAGATCTATTCTTCTAAGCGTGGCACGTTTATCTTTTCCCGTAAGGATTCTGGGATCACTTTTTTTGTATATCTATGGGGTCAGAGTGGAGTAATGGATTCATGGTTGGGACTGAGGAATTGGAGAGCCGAGTTCGAATTCCACTCGAGTTCATTGCATTCATATTACGTGCTAATACCCTTGGGAAAGCTATGAATCCATCTCTTCTCTTCCAGCTATGGGTTAAATAGCTGAACAGATTGAGCCCTATAGCCATGGTTGGCAACCAGACTAAAAGAATGAAAACTCTGAATTCAGACCACCCTGTCTCTTTAACTTCTTAGAGGAGGGACGGGGTAGCCTCAGCATCCCTGGTGTAAAAGAAACCAGCAAGTCAGTGCACTATTCTGCCTTGAATGTCACCCTAGACCACAATTATGAGATGGTGGGAGGCGGTGACCACAGCGACGGCGCAAAATGTGCTTACTGAATAAATGATGATTTTTATATCTGACCACAAACGCTCATCGTACAAACAGAAGGAATTTCTTTTATTTCGGGGAAGTTAATCTGCGTAATTTAAGTTGGCTTATTCGTCTCTAGCATTTTGATTATTTTTTCATGTGAGGTGACGGATAAAGTCAACTTTTAAACTGTTTTACTACATCATTGCCGGTAATACAGCTTAAAAGTTTAATATTTGAAACTTATCCGCGGAAGAGGAATTACTACTGCGTTAGTTTTTGACAGTTCATTTAGACAATACACCGATTTTTCAAGTTATATTTATGTTTACATACACATATACAATTTTAGTTGATTTAAGTAAAAAATAGAATTATAAAATAAACACAATTCTAAAAGTATTACTATTATAGGAGGGAACAAAATTATAAAAGAAAGATAATTATAAAGGAAAAAGAATTATAAAATAAACACAATTCTAAAAGGTACAGTTTGAAATAGACTCCTGAGTGGATGTTTTCCTGATCACTATAATCTTGACGTCTTCAAGTGTCAGTTGTTATTTATTCTACATATCTTCATAATTTGCCCTTGATTCCTCTTCTTGATTTTCGCTTGTGGTCCTCTATTAAACTAAAATACACCGAGAGCAAATCTCAATAACCCTGTCACTTCTTATCCCAACGAGTAACAAGAAGAAAGAAGTGATAAAGATAAGCGCCATTATGACCTTTAAACTTAACCCCAATCGCTGTTAATAAAATTTATTACTTATACTTTTACAAGCAAAGGAATTACTCGGTCTTCAGCGTGCTTTGTGTTCTTCAAACTTTAGCTTTTCATTTCTTGAGAAGAAACTTATATTTAGTTCACGTTCTGTAAAAAGGAAATACGGTCAAATATTTGTGATATCCCATAATTATTCGATGATTAACCTGCAACCAAATGTTCTGTTATCATTTGGTTATAAAATTCTCTTCTGGAGCTGAAAGAAAAAAAGAAAAGAAAAAAAATGCAAAGAAAAGTAAAAAAAAAAGCAATAAATAGATAGAATTGTGAAAGTTTCCTTTCACAATTTAATCTGTTGCTTTTTTCTTTTTACTTTTCTTTGCGACAGAGATAAAGAAAAAGGAAAAAGATGAAAAAAAAAAACAGAAAAAAATAAAACGAAAAAGAACGAAGAAAGAAAAAGAAAAAAAAATAGCTAAAAAGGAAAAACAAAAAGGAAAAGCAAAAAGTAAAAAGAAGAAAAAATAAGAGAAAAAGTCAGAACATAAAGACAAAACATAAAGAAACGAAAATAAAAGTAAAACAAAATAAACAAAAAGGAAAAAAAAGGAAAACGTAAAAAGAAAAACTGAAAAAGGAAAAAAGAAAAGAAAAACCAAAAACAGGACATCGAATGTCAAGGTGGTTAAATAACCAAATGAAAAATTTAGGAAATTATTTCTTTACTGATGAAACTATTTTGCAAGCTCATTTCTTTGCTACTAATCGCCGCAGATCAGCCCAGTTTTCAAAGATGCTATTTCTATCCATAACACCAACACATTAAGCACTGTCTTTGGACAATTCCTTATTTCGTTTGTTAAAACGGGCGTTCTATGAGCCATAGAACACGTTATAGAATAATAGAAAGAGACAATCTTGAATTCAGATGAAAAGAAAAATGTTATAAGGGTGTTCAAAAGAAAATGTAAAGAGAACAAAAGAAAACAACAAAAGAAAACAACAACAACAAAAAAAAAACTCTCAATGGAAATCGCCGGTTGAACCCATTAAGAATGACGGCGTCGAGAAGAAATCTGAAAGTATTTCACCGTCTCAACTATCGGCCATATTGTTTTTGTTGATCAATGGAAAAAGTTAAGGAAAATTGAACCGTTTCATGTTTAATCATTAATTCTCAGCATTCTCGACAAATTTCTAAGAATTGTTATAACTTTTGAGACAAAGGTAACCTTATAAGTACCTGTCTGCATGGTGCAAATCAAAGGTGTCAAATTTGACGGTGATCGCATTTTAAGAATTAAATTACATGAAGGATATCAGAAAATTTTTGAACAATTCAGACTACCCACTCGCCAGATTAAGGATTTTATTAGACAAAAACAACTCTTTCTCTCTCTCTCTCTCACACACACACACACACACACACACACACACACACACACACACACACACAAGCACACACACACAAACA